ATTTTTGGGTCGAAGGCATGCTGGTTTCCTCTAAATTTAAGTCATGCTTCACCGTACGAGCCAGTGTTAAATACAAAGATAGAAAAGTCTATTGGTGCACAATCAGGGTTCGAACCTACGAACTCACGGATGAGAGTCGCGTAAACCAATAGTATATAATATTTTCAAATGGCTTATTATTTACACATTAAATTTGTAAAGTACCTATGTTTTTTTAAACAACAAATAGCAGAGGATAATAATGAAGAAAATTTTATAACAATAAATATCTACTAGTGATATGGCATTCTTATTTATTGTAAAATATGATATATTGGGGAATTACGTTTTTGTTAGACATGCCTAATTAATTTATTGAATATTATTGAACAGTTTATTTATTTATTTATTTATTTACACTTTGTTACTTTATGATATAAAAATTTAACAAAATTACATGTAAAGGAAAGGCAACTGGCGGCCTTATCGCTTTCGAGCGATCTCTTCCAGGCAACCACTGAGAAAAGAAAAAAAATGTATTAAATCACATAAGGTAGGCAAGAAGTGCAAAAATACATGTATTACAAATAGTTTGTGCAATTATTTGTAGGTACACTTAAATCTTCAACGAATCAAAGTCGTTAATCTATAGCAAATTATAAACTCGATATCTACGAAGTCGGTAGAAGGGCATTGCCGTCTTATTTATCATCTCCGTCGATATTTTAATAATTTATAATCACACTTTCTTAACTCAAAATACCCGTAGATACATATTGAATTTTATAGGTTCTAAACTATTATTTGGACATTTCGATACAAAAAAGTTAAACAGATCGCTTATTCTGTCATAGTTGGAAGGCGCAACTGTCAAATTTCGGTTCAGCCGAGCGGTCATGGTACGGAATTTTCATACAAATTGAACGAAACTCGATATCTACGAAGTCGGTAGAAGGGCATTGCCGTCTTATTTATCATCTCCGTCGATATTTTAATAATTTATAATCACACTTTCTTAACTCAAAATACCCGTAGATACATATTGAATTTTATAGGTTCTAAACTATTATTTGGACATTTCGATACAAAAAAGTTAAACAGATTGCTTATTCTGTCATAGTTGGAAGGCGCAACTGTCAAATTTCGGTTCAGCCGAGCGGTCATGGTACGAATTTACATACAAATTGAACGAACGAAAGCTGATTACCGGTAAGGTCACGTGGGAACATAAACTGTCTCGTTTTTTCGATGTCATGGTACGAATTAGCGATGCATCTCAGTTGTAGGTTGTCAATAGCCAATAGGCTCGCAACAAGAGCTCATGGTAGTCCCCATGAGACTTATGTCCGTTCGTCCTTCTGTTTTATACAAAAGTTATTAATCTCTGTCGATTAATTACAAGTATACTTCATCAAAGACGAATTTAAAACATACAAGAGCTCACCCAAATTTGTACGTACCTACATATATGTATGTACTGATAAACTTATTAACATAGTTAGTTTTACTCAAATGCATTTAACAAATTCCATTTCTTTATAGACCATTGTTTCAGTTGCCAAGATATGCTGTTGTTTTCCATCACTGTACTGAATCGTGCTATCAAAGTATTTCCGAAGCATATATGTATATGTCGCAGCCAACTAGCTTAATAAGTCGATAAACTAACAGTCTAGCCTCCTAACTAAACAGCGCCGTTTAACTAGCGGCCTGAAAGATATTCGGCCAGTTGATGAAACAGCTAGGCAAGTGACATGGATCGATGACATTTCATTGCTTGCCTAGCCTGACTGTTAATTTATATTTAGTTCCACTTTCTGTCAATATGGCGTCGGAAAACTATAACTTTCATGGTGTTTTCCAAATTATAATGAAAAACAACTGGTACAATGGAAGAGTGTAATGTGAATTTAGCTGTGACTGACTCAAGTTATTTAATTTTTAAAGAAATATTTTTTATGTCACATGTTTTTTTACACATGGTCACTCTATCGTACGAATGGCCTAAGCATTAGCCAGCCAGTTTATGGTATGGTATGGTTTGTGGACTCGTTTTCCGCATTTAGACGCTCACTAGGTCCGTTGTACGTGAGCCTTGGCTAACTAAGCCAGCCTAACTCCTTCCAGAAGCACAGAAGCTTCCTGGGTACTTCGCAGGCTTCCCGGAGCGACCTCACTGTTCCGAGGATTTCTGTACGTTGTTTAGCCACAGCCTTGCATTCCAGGACTACGTGGGTGACTGTTTCCTCTGCGTTGAAACAGCCTCTGCACATGGGGCAGCCAGCCAGTTTATTAAATACATAAAAATCTTTTAGGCCGGTTGGCTTGGCTGCGACATATACAACATATCGACTTTAAGATAGACTTTTGGCTTGGATATCAGTGGTAGTTTCACTGCGAGGATCCTCCCTTAAGGTTAAAGAAACAGCACACCTTTCCATTTCCACAGGATCATACCGGAGAAATGTTATCCTACCAGTGATAATTATTTTTGGGTTTATACTAATCAGACAGAGCAATATTGGCCTAGTGGCTTTAGCGTCCGACCCTCATTCGTGCGTTCGAATCACGGCTGTGCAATGGAATTTTCTTTCGATATATTTAACATTAACTTAAAAGCTGGCCATAGACGGACCGCATGTTGCAGTCAAGACCGACTGCTGTAGAGCGGTCGCGTTGAAGTCGTACACGACTTCAACACGGCTACGACTGCTTCGAGCAGTTGTGTTCGACCGCAAAATAATACTGATGCGAGTTCATTTACAAGATGGATTTCGATGAAGAAACACTGTTACTTGTACTACTATTACGCAAGCGTAGGCGTAGAAGACACCGTAGTATGTGGGTGCGTCCAATACTACAATCAAGAGAACAGCATTGAATATTTCATACTTTGTATCCCCAGCTGAGGGAAGACACTAAAAAGTTTTTCGAAACTTACTATTTTATTTTATTTAAGGGAGTGGCGCGCGGGCAGCAACCGCTTGTAGCGGTCCGTGTTGGTGGGTCCGGCAGCTCTAAGCAGTCGACCGCACGGCGAAACTCGACCGCAGAGCGACTGCTCCGACTGCTCGAGCGGTCCGTGTATTGCGGATATGAATTTAGTATGGAAACTGCAGATAGCCGTGCGGCGACCGCTTAGAGCAGTCGGTGTCGGCAGCAACATGCGGTCCGTCTATGGCCAGCGCAAGATGAAGGCAAACATCGTGCGAAAACCGGAATGTCTAGAAAGTGCAAACCCAAGTGTCAATAGAATAAAATTTATCCAGAAATGGATGCAATCTGGGATTCCATTTAGGGTTGTAACACTGCAATTTATTTACACTTCGTTGCAAAAAACAAAGAATGATACACAATACAAAAAAATTATAAGGGATGCAACGGGCGGCCTTATCGCTAATAAGCGATCTCTTCCAGGCAACCCTAGTTATAGAGAAAAACTAAAAAAAAGAAACATGATGCGTGCGAGAAGTGCAGAAACAAATGTTATATAAAAAAATATATATGTATATATATACATAGTACCTTAATCTAAAGTAATACAAAAAAAAAATATATTAACTACAGACTAAAAACTTAAAAGCTAATCTTACAAATACATGGACAGCAAATAGTGATGTAAAAGGAAACATAAGATTTATACAAGTCACGATTGATCAGGATAGGATAAGGTTAAGAAATGATTATACAGAAGAGTTTTAAAAGATGAAAGAGAGGTAGCCAATCGTACGGAGTCGGGCAGCGTATTCCACAACTTAATGGCGGAGATCGTGATTGAATTTCCTAAGAAGGATGAAGTGTGAGATGGAATTTCTTTTTACATTATTTACATTAATATTGTAAAGACGATTTCATTGTTTATTTGCTGTTGGTTTCAAAATTACAGTATATGAACAATTCTGTCACCATTAGAATCTTACTATATCCCTCATGAACATAGACAGGAATATTTTCAGAATAGTTAGGGTTCTGTAAAATTACGATAGTGTAAAAAGGACCAAGAAAGACTCTTAAGTCGCGTAAAAATATAGTCAAAAGTGATGTACTACAGTTTTATAAAAGAAATCAATATCTACAAAAATGTCCGCCATTGCATATGTCTAACAATTTTTTTTTGCATATAAAGGTCTATTAACCGAGATAAGCTAGATAAGAGCATCATGCTACCGAATGAATGCGGGTGGAACCTTATTAGTTTAATAATAATCGGCCTAGTTATTAATAAGGCACAGATCAGTTTATAAATTTTATTATATTTAACATACAAATTCAAAGCACACAACCACAATGATACCACTAAACAGTATAAAAACTTAATTTAACTTAAAATTATTTACGTAAATTACGTATTTAAAATACTATATAAAATATAATTGGGTAAGTATTGTAAAGTTCGTTAAAGTTATACAAAATAGCTTCACCGAGGACGGTAATAAAAAAATTTGGCCTTAGAGAAATCTACTTACGTATAGCTTTTATAAATACACGTTTTTAATTAGGAACTAGTCTGGAAGTATATAACATTCAGCATACTTCGACGTAACGTTTAGAACGGCACGTAACTGGACTTGGCTGGAGAAAGTTCGAGAAAGACCTAGAAAACGTCTTCTGCGCATCTAATGTGACACGGTAAAATTAAACCCCAATGCCAATATCCATTTGTACACTATCACAATCTTGACTTGAGCACTGTTGTGCCGGAGTTCTCTTGAAAGTAGACTTAATTTTGATTGATGTTGATGTACTGGCACACTATTGCTCGAAGGTCCGAAGGTCTGGACGAATTACCGATGAAACAGTATGTTTTTGTTTAGTGGACAGTAATAGTAAAAAAAATCAGTAGAAAGTATATAAAATTGCGTCTGACTAAAGCAGAATAATATTTAATTACTCAGACTTCTCCATGATCCAGCATTGCAACAAAGATATGGTTAATTTTCAGACTCGTTTGGGATATTTGGTCCATTCACCTCACATTCAGCGCTCACAATTCGCGTTTCATAGATTATAGAATACACGTGTTAATACTTTGGCAAGGTCTGCGCAGGCGCGGTCGGAGATGCTAATAGGGAGTCATCTGGTGCAGCAAAAGTGGACTCTCGGGCGATAGTAGAGGTTCGTATGGACGCACGCCATTTCTCCTTGATGGCATGAGCGAGGAAGAACGTGCAGAAAATTCCGGTACTCTGAAACAAAGGCGTTTATTGATAAATACAATGATCAAACAACCACCTCTAATACATTAATAAATTGGAGCAGTGCTACGCTAGGCTACTCAAAAGATATGTAGGTACCATGTACCAATGTTTGTTCCCTTATATACATAGGCCGGAAGATAGTGACACAAAATAGTTGGTCATTTGTACCAGTATGGCGGTTCTACAGGGGTCTTATTACGAAATAAAAAAAAGAAATTTGGTGGTCATAGCGCTGGTACCGGCGGCACAATCGCGTGGGCGTTAGTCGAACTCGTCGGATTAATTACGACTTTCAAACGATTTGTTAAAAATTCTAGTATTTTCCGATAGTCCATAAAAAATTAAGAGGCGGCAGTGTCATACCATACTTCTCCGGTGTGACTTACAGCGAATGCGTTGATGTAAAAAAAATCCCCCTCCTTGCGGGGGCCCCCCCCCTCATGCTATTTTTACCAGCTACCCTTTCGATATAGCACTAATATATACAATTGTATACGTTTAATATACACAATTTTATACATTAAACAAGTTGTGTTCCTTGTTACTTACAACTACATATTTCAGTTATATATATAGTACAAAAACAATTAATTTATAACCAAAAAAACAATAACTAACCTAAAAATATAATAATTAATATATAGTATTATAAGGAGTCCCTATAGGCAAAGTTCCGAAGATACTGGCAGCGTTCCCCCTTTGAATATATTCAGTGGCGTAACTGTACAATCTGGGGCCCGTGGCAAATTCTTTTGATGGAGTCCTATCAGTAAAAATCGTCACGTTGTACTCTAATTTTATTTTAATAAACTTCGAGAGTTTCCAGCGTACTCAATTACACGTTGTATATGTCCCACAAATGGCGACAGGCCTCCTCTCTTAGGGGAGGGAAAGGTCTGTAGTCCCGCTAGCCCAATGCGTATTGGAGATTTCACATTCATCCATAGAACATAATATCTCTTGGGCAGGGGCCCTCTTGGGTCGTGGGCCCGTGGCATTTTGCCAGCCCTGCCACCCTATTGTTACGCCACTGAATATATTGGTGATTAATGCAGACAGTAACTTGATACGGTTGAAGCTAAATACTTTAAAAACTATAAACAACGATAAATTTACAATGATTGCTGTGTGCTAGTATACAATAATCTCTATTAGGATGATTGTTCTTAACTTGGGTACAATGTAATGAATCTAAGAGGCTATTGTTCTAATAATTATGACTTATGAGTCACACATCTCTGTACTTCGTACCAAGAGTTCACGACAACACGCTTTTTAAAGAAAACATAATTGGAGTCAGTAAACGTGAATTGCAACAATAATAGCGTTGCTTTATTAAAAGTTCATAAATTAATCTCCTATTTATTCCAAAAACAATAAATATATGTAGTAACTCGCAAGTCACATAGAAATTACACTAGCCAAATTGGATTTCGAATCTACAGAGGCATTACTCATTATTACATTTATCTTGATATGACTTTGAGGTTTCAAAAACTAACACAGACACAGTGCACAGACGGGTGCTACTTGTGGTGACTGGTCGTACTTGAATTCGTGTATGCGGTGATGTTAATTATTTCGACTATGTGTTTGCGTGTTGTTCCCACGAGAATGTAAGTGCGTGCTCCTATTTCACCATGCCTCCTGGTGATAGAGGACAACTCTTTGTTTTTAATTTATGTTATTATTATTAATTACTTAAGATGTCATGTGGAACATGGTTTAATGGTTGCAGCTCCTTACAAACGTTGTGTAAAAAAAAACATGGCGATTAAAAAGAGTGGCGGAGAGTTTATTGCCAGTTCTTCTCTTCCGTTCTACGCCCTTGATTTGAGAACTGGCAATAAATGTAAAATTAGAAGCATTTATATGTATTTCTTTACAGACAAGTCATAAGTGTACAAGGTGTTACCAATATGATTAAATGATTTTTGAATTTGATCATAACAACTTTCAGCTACACTCTCAAATACATGCGCAATACCCACACACACTCACTCATTCACTTAATTTGTAACACAATTTTTTTTTCTTTTTTTAACTGTTTTAAATATGTACCAAGTAATAATTGTTTTAGTAGTTACCCACAACACAGGGACTATATGAATTCTGTCACAACCCTTTTGTTATAAATAAAGATTTATTATTTTATTTATTTATTTTTATGTATAATACAATTTATTTTTATGTATATTACAATTTAAATATCTTCACGCTATTTTCCTAAAGAGGTAGACAGGGACCATTTACCTCTAATTGCTATTGTCCTCTCTCGCTTCATCCACCATCATGGCATTCTCCATGCATGCTCGGTTATGGGTAGGTACTTTAAATTTGTCTCTTTAGTACGTCGTGGGTTTGGTCCAGATATATTTTTAAGTCGGTTTTCATTCATACGTTCTACATGTCCAAACCACCTAAGCATTCCCTTTAGTTTTTATGGTTTTATTTCTTTTTAGAATCACTTCGTGTGTGTTAATGTTTGCCTTTAAGTGCTTGTCACATTACAAATTGTATTTATTGTTCTTGTACCAATATATCGGTGTGCCGAGCCTTGCCAAGCTTTTATAAATAAATATACATAATCATTGTTTACTAATTTAGGCATATTTTTGTTAACTAATTAAAGCATTATACATTATTAAGGAAGCAATTTATTTCATATGACCATTATACAATCGTTAAATACAACATAAACTAATGCGTAACATAATTAAAACAATGGTATTCAAAGAGATTTTATTTAAATGAATCATTGCAGTAATAAGTTTGTTTACGTTACGAACTGTTAATCTGTGGAAAGGTTACGTAACCTTATTTATTTATATATCAAAGACAATAGAATAAGAGGTAAAGAACTGGGTATGAATGTGTTTTTTAAATATGTTCTTGAATTGTGAACTCGTATTATGAAGGGGAGGTATGCAAATGACATGTCAATTGATATGATATGGTTGGGTCACTCTGCATCTTCTACCGCATTATACCACGGAGAGTGTTCAGAGAAGTTATTTGGAATAATACCGGCAGCTGAGTTTCATCATCGACCTCGAGGCAGAATACGAATTTCCACCCGTGTCACCTCGACGTCCGCATTTCCACCACTATACGTTTTTTAAAGCAGTTTCTGCCGCGTACCATCACTATGGGTAACCAACTACAAACTTAAGTTCCTAACCAATTCGACTTAGGGTTTCAAGGGGACTTTATGAAAAGAGCGTACCAATTCATAAAAGGGAACGCACTCGCAAGCCCTCTGGCATTGGTTGTCCTTGGGCGGCGGTATCACTTAACAGCAGACAACCCTGCTAAAAAAAAAACAGTGGCCTGGGCCTCAGATTTTTGAATCTGTTTAATGATCAGTGAGGCGGTTTCCTTCATCGAGCGATTGTTAAATTCGCACATAGAAAGAAAGTCCATTGGTGCACAGCCAGGGATCGAACCTACGACCTCAGGGATGAGAGTCGCACGCTTAAACCACTAGGCCAACACTGCTCTGCCGCTATAAAAAAATAGAAAATCGAAAACAGAAGTGACATACACTTCGGAGGGAGAGACTGGAAATCTGGCAACGAACCATCATTGCGAAGGCGAAGAAAGCTGGAAAACCTACAACGCAATTTACAGAGATGCCCATGATCAGACTTGCAACTCTCCACGCTCTCTGTCCCACCTAGAGGAAATAGGATCTTAAGTCAACTCCCGAGTTTATAGTGGTCTTCGATTCACTTCCGTTCTTCATTTAACTTCGATTTAAAATTAAATAAAATCGTGAATCGCATACTAATTATGATACACAGAAGATATGCACTAACAGAAGCTACTTTGTAAGGATATCAATTTAATTTGACACACAGTAGGCCCTGTCCAGGCACCTTGAATCCTTCTAAATACATAGTCTTAAATGTTAGTATATATATAACTGTTTTTATAGTTATATCCGTAATTTAGGAAACAAATGTTGTATATAGTACCAGAATTCAAGTGCGATTCCAGTGATTCAGACCTTATAATTGTGGGTGAAGGTCTAAACCAAACAAAAGGACCACATTAGGACAAACACATGTTACAAATTGACGTACATACGAAAATCTGAAAAGCGGTGCTGTCCCTATAACGTGTGAACACCCAGCGAAATCAAGTACATACAAAAAACAGTGTTAATACAAACAACCATAAAATTAAAAAAGAAGCTACAAAAATACAAACTATAAAAATAATAAGACTATTTGAACCAAGAAATGAAATTATCAGTACTGTGTCCTAATTCTTCTCTTAGCTGAGCCCACAGAACCAGGAAATATGTCCAAACTCTGTGCAATGTCATTATGGTAGCGAAATATTTATTTATTTACACTTCGTATTGTCTTTGATTAACATAACTTTTATTCATTTAATAAAACACTATTTTGACCGGATTGAAGTTATGTATTATTATAAATTTACACACGGTGCGTGGTCACCGTGACCACGCACGCTGTAAAGCACGCGAAACGTCGGATAAATTTAAAATTATGTTAAATAGTTGTAAATTTATAATAATACATAACTTCAATCCGGTCAAAATAGTGTTTTATTATTTACACTTCGTTACCATACTATAAAAAAATCAGGTTACATAAGTTATTAGGCAACGGGCGGCCTTGTTGCTAACAAGCGATTTCTTCCAGGCAACCCTAATATGGAACAATAAAAAAAGATACACCTACAGCGGGTAAAGTAAAAGAAGTGCATAATTAATTAACAAAAAAATACTCATAAACATGTAACTATAACTAAATAAAGTAAAATCTAAAGAAAAAATATAAATAATAATATGTATAAACAAAAATGTAAAAGCTAATCCAAACATTAATTGACATAACCTATTAATTGGGAACTTCTGCCAACGTTTGCTAATGTGGGATCTGAAAACATCTTTGTATAAAGAGATTGTGTTAATGATTGTATAGAGAGTTCTCCACTCCATCAATAATCCTTGCAGT